GAGCCGGGCTGGGGCGTGGAGCAGGTCGGCGCCGCGGAGCGCGGGCTGCAGTGTGGGAGCTCCGGAGGGCGAGTGTCCGTGGGCTCCGCGGGAAGGGGCGGTTGTGTGCTCGGCCGCGGAGGGCTGGCGAGGGCGGGCGGGTTCACGCCGGAGGGGTGAGTGGGCGTGTTGGTGGGCTGTGGGAGATTACTTCGGACTTGCGGGTGGGCTTCAGAGGAGTGGGGGTTAGGAGTCGGGTATGGGAGCGCGACCCATCGGTTTTTGGAAGGTGGAGGGGCGCTTGTCTTTGGGGGGACTAGGGGTATCGATCTGTTGAATGGGGTTTTTGATGGGCAGAGATGCGATGTGCTCGCGAGCATGCAGAGGTGACAGGCAAGGGGAGAGGACTCAGGGAGTTATGATCGTGATGTGCACTCAGTGTCCCACCTACCCCAGTGGCTAAGTCTTCCCTCCCCTGCGTTTTGGCTTAGGCACTGGAGAGGCCCATCTCACCTGAAGCTGCCCTTCCAGGTTTCCATAGCAACTGGCTGCGGCCTTTCTGAGCCGCAGGGAGGGGCGAGGAGCTGGCTGGGCTGGAAGGCCTCTCTTCCCTCTCCCCCCTGCGAACCCTTTATGTGTGGGAGAGGAGACTGGTCACGTTCTGCCTTCGCCAGGGCTCTTGACAAGTGGATTTCCAGGGACCCTCTGAAGTATGTGCAAAATTTTGCACATTTCTGGAGACAGCCTCTGTATGTTCCATTGTGTTCTGGAAGGCATTCACCATGACAGGTTGCAGACTGCTTAATATGAAACAGCCCCTTCTCCGGTCACCTACCTCTCCACTAGGGTGGTCTGTTACTGAGCTTGAGTTTATAAGTCTAATGTCAAATTATTCACTTTGGTCAGATGTCCTGTTTCTGTTTAAAAGGCATTGCCCATTTCCTTGGTTCTCATCTCAGGAAACGTTGGCAAACTTGGAGAGACAGATCTATGCTTTTGAAGGAAGCTACCTGGAAGATACTCAGATGTATGGCAATATTATTCGTGGCTGGGATCGGTATCTGACCAACCAAAAGTGAGTGGCAACACCTGGTGTGTCCATATCATTTCTTAGCAGGATTTGTTTTCGAACTATGTATGTTCTTAGTAGCAACTTTGCAGGAGGCAGTGGTGGTATGGAAAGGGTCTGGTCTTGAACTTGGATGTAGTTGCTACCCCCTCCTGAGCAAACCTGGACCAATCCTGTATCTGTAAAATGGAGAAAGCTGGGTCCATGGCAGGGCTCAGGTGAGGCTTTAATGAACACAGCATGTAACAATATCTTAGAGTGTCACTTCTAGTGTGTTCCATATTTAAATCAGTTGTGCATTGCTCCCACAGTGTTTACCATGCCCATATAGCAGCCGTACCACCCTTTAGTCATGTTATTCTTGAAAGCTCTGAAGACTTTGAAAATTTTTAGTCTATACAAAGTTGAAAGAGCAGTGAACACTTGATCTTCTTCACCTTCTTTCACCAATTAACATGTTACCACATTTGCTTTCTCTCTCTACTCTTTCTCTTTGATACATACACATACCTATATCTACACTTAGATTTTTAAAAATTTTGATAAAATTATAGGTACATAGGAAGTTGCAAGATAATAGGGACATCCTGGGACCGTTCACCTATTTTTCCCCAAGGGTTGGGTTTTATGTAACTATAGTGTAATATCAAGACCAGGTAATTGACATTGGTACAATGTGTATGTGTAGTTCTGTAGTTTTATCTTGTGTGTGTAACCACTGCAGCAGTGGAGATACAGAACTAGTCCATCACCACACAGCTCTCCCTCATGCTACTCCTTTTTATTTTTTTAAAGATTTTAAATTTTTATGTAGAAGAACTGGGTGCAGGGCATGAGAGGGCTCACTAGAGACAGAGTGGGGAGCAGATCAGATGGATCTACTAAAATACGCTGCTGAGTGTCAGCTCCCTGGCAGGGGATCCAGTTCAGGCCACAGTGACTGGTAATATTTTCATAGTGCTGAGAGTAACCCCTGCGCATCAGGGAGTTCCTGCTACTACTCCTTGGCTTCCCTCTCCTCTCTTTTTTCCAAACCATATAAATATAATAGTGCCCTTATTATATAGTGCCCTCATGTCAGCAATTGCCTCCTGAGAATAAGAACATTTTTCTGACCTAGTCACAAGTGTCATGCCTTGATGATTAACACTGCATTGGTACTATTATCTAAAGCACACAGGCTTTATTCAGATTTCGCTAATTGCCCCAGAATGCTTTGTGACCTCACTTTGGTCCAGTTGCCATTCATGAATTACATTTTGACTATTACATCTCTTAATTTAGGAAAATCACTCTTTTTGGTGAAGTGGGAGAGGCAGGAGAGATCTGCTGCACCATGTGGGTTAACTCTGTGGCCATGAGTTGAACTTGTGCTGCAGTGGCTACAGCTAGCTTTATAGTGCTGTGCTTTAAACCTGTTGTGCCACAGGGAGGGCCCTCTGAATCAGCTATTATACTTGAGGTTGCGAAATTGGTGATTCTATAATTATTATTTTTTTAACATTTATTACTGATATTTTGAAGGCAGAATCTTTTTCATAATTTTCCTTTTTGATATTATCTCACTCTTTAGTATCCTATGGACTCATGCATTTAAAAAAAAAAAACAGGGCCTCCCTGATGACCTGTGGGTTTCTGAGCGCTATCACTGTTGTCCCCGAAGTTCAGTTCTCAGCCTGAGAGCTAACCTCTCTTGTCTTGTTTGCTGTTCCCCTTAACAGTGTACTTTATCAATCTGCCTGTCTTGTTCCCCACTTTGTCTCTGGTGACTCTTCTCACTCCCCTCACAAATCTGGCCTATACCAGAGTTCTATACACACAGATACACACACACACACACACACACACACACACACACACACACGTAAAAATAAATCAATATTTAACAAAATTAATTGAAAAAAGAAAAATCAGTATGTTGGGATCTAGTACTGCCACTTAATTGTTAAGTTTTACTTTTCAATATAAATGTTTGTTTGAATATGTTCATAGAAGTGAACAAACTGAGCCCTCCCTGGTGGCACAGCAGGGTAGAGCACAGCACACTATGAAGCTATTGCAGCCACTGCAGCACTAGTTCAGTCCCCTGCGGGAGAGCTGGTCAGCTCTTTCAACCTGCCCACTGCTCCCCTCAGTAGTGTATTTCAGTAGATCCACCTGTTTTGATCCCCATACTGTCTTTGGTGAATCCTCTGGCCTGTATCCCAGTTCTTGTATGCATAAAAAATAAGTCTTTTTAAAAAAAGAAGTGAACAAACCATAAGACACAGCTCAGTGATTTTTCAAAAGGTAAACACACCTGCCCATATCCTCTTTAATGTTTAGTTTGCCCCAAATCTGGCCAATGGGACCATCTTCAAGATGTTCCCTTTGTCTTTTCAATATGCCTTGCTAGTGTCTGAACTTTCTGTCACCTTAGAGAAACCAGCTGGTTTCTTTGTATTTAAAAAAAATTTTTTTTTTTAAACAGAGACATTTCATATCACTAATCATTGCTTGTTGTTCTTAATAATAAACAAATAAATACATATTAAAATGAAAATGCAAACCAGCTAAAGTAATTTCATGTACCACTGTAGGACACTTACCACCCCTGAGACAACATTGCCATCTCCGTAGCCATTCAGCCTAGAGGTTGCTTCAGAGTGCCGCCACTCCTGTAGGAAAGTTGGATGGAAAAAGAGAGAGAGAGAGAATTCCTTATATCTGCCCTGGGCATCCTCAACTTGAGACATCACTGTAGCTTGGGGTTTAGAATAAATTTCTTCTGTATATTTTAGAAACTCCAATAGCAAAAACGATCGAAGGAACCGGAAGTTTAAGGAAGCTGAGCGCCTCTTCAGTAAATCCTCAGTTACGTCAGCAGCTGTAAGTGAGGGGGGGGGCTCATTCTGTGGCCCATTGTTGAGGAAGACCTCAGTTAATTTTCTGTGAGTTTTCTTTTTACCTTTTGTCTGTTGGATGAATTTCCTTTTCCCCTTTTGCCTGTAAGTGTGCTCCTAAGGTCTTGTGATGATTCTTCTAGTAACTAACTGGTGGTTTGTTTTGTTTTTTTAGGCAGTAAGTGCATTGGCAGGGGTTCAGGACCAGCTCATTGAAAAGAGTAAGTTAATTTTTACTTTTCTTTTTTTATCAGTTTATTATTAAGCTGCCATTGTCTCTGTATTTAACTCCTATCCAACTGCGTTTCTGAAGACTGTATCTATTATGTGCTTGTCCCTTCCTTTTAGAAATTAGGAACCCTTTGGGTTATTATGTCTTTTTTTTGAGGAAAAAACTCCCATGTCCTTCCATCTTTTTATGTGGTGGTAGGCTTTTAATAGTTCAAAGACAAAGAGATAGGTCTTCAATCCTGATAAGTTCTAGGGAAGTTTTTTTTTTTTTTTAAGTTTAGAAAGCTGTTATTGTGGGATACTTCTGTCATATTTAATAAATCCTCATATAACCAACTTAAGAATTTTAAGAAAATATGATCCTGCAGACAGAATGTACCTGTGTATTCTTAAATATGTAATGGGTATTTGTAAATAGTATTTACTTTGTAGAAAATTGTATCATTCTCTGTCTGAAGACAGACTAACTCTACTGCTAGTGGCGTGATAGCTTTCTTAGGTGCTGTAGTTACCACACAGAGCTCTGCTATGCATCTGGTCACTTGGAAGGACAGTCTGCTTTTTTATTGTGGCCATGTGCTGCTTTCAGGTGGTGTATGTTGGGGGGGTGTCTAGTTTTATTTGCAGTGGGGAAATAGTTAAAGGAAAAGGCTTTGTAGTAGTTTGTAGATTGAAGCTACTCAGTATGATTTCAGTTACCATGTCTCTGATTTCTGAATTTATAGCTTTGTCTATAACCCACCCTGAGCTCTAGTCATGCATATCTAGAAAATATCTTATGCACATTTCTACTCAAATATTCAAACTCAAACATTTTGTCTAAACTGTCTTCAAAACTTGTCTGCCCCCAATTTTATATGCTAGTACTCTGTTCTCCCTCATTTAAAACTCTGTAGGCATCTTTGACTCCCTCCTGCCAGCCTAATCACTTGTACCATATTATTTTTACTTTTCTTTAGTATGACTATCTTATTTCTTGTAAGTTAAATCTCATTTCTTTTCAATTAATGCCCCCTCTAGAATGTGGAGCTATTTTCATTTGCTTTCTAGAGTAAATCAAATGTGCCTTGGTGGGGTTAGGATACTTAGAGTAAAGCAAACTTAAGTCACATCAAACTTTACTTCTATGAGTTGAGATGAAACATTGTTTGACATCTCAGTTTTCACTGATTTAATGGTTAATTTCTAATCTTGGCTTCATAGTTTAGCGTAGTTAGTTTGGCATAGTTTAGCGTAGTTAGTTTTGGCATAGTTAAGTACTATCTATGCAGAATAATTTCATTTGGGTACTTGTCAGGAAAACTTAAAGCTGCTGATTTCAGAAGCATGATACACTTAGTTTATATTAAAGATTTTCTGACATGTATGCAGGCATCCTTTCCTCCAAGATCTTCCCCTTGGATTAAGCCTCACCTCAGATGCTTGGATTACATCATGTTGGTTGGTACTTGATCTTCCCTGGAAAGTTGTATTTGGTTCTATTAAATATGTCACTGTATTAATTAGCAGAAGATATTGCAAATGTTTATTGTGATTGTTAATTATATTTCCTGTAGAAATAGTCGTTTTTCCTGAACGATTAGTTGATTTCTACTGAAAATCTTCTATTTATTCCTTCTTTGGATGGGTGTTCAGATGTTTAAAGCCAAATTTGTAGTTCCCCTTTCAAGAGCAAATAGGAATTTATAGCATGCATTTTGGGAATTAGTACTGCATCTAGCTTACTTTTCTCTATTTCTTTGTTTTTACTTAAGCTCAATTTAAATTTATTTTGTTGAATTTTCATGTATGAATCTTGGTAAGCTGTCATGAACTGTTTTTGGAATAAAGCAGAGTGTACAGAATTGTGTAAATAGTGGAATTCATTAATTCAAATGGTCAGAAGCCCTTTAAAGTGGCTTTCTCTCTTACTACCTCCATCATTACCACTTCCTATTGCTGGATTTTAAGATTTCATTTCATCTTGATACTTTGCAGTTAACTACAGTGTGTCTAAGTATGAATTTATTTGTGTGTATTGCGTTTAGCTGGATTTGTTGAAATTGTTTGGTGTTTCATATCAGTTCTGGGAAATTCCCAGCTAGTAGCTCTCTAAATACTACATTTGCTCCATGCTTTCTCTCCTCTCCTTCCGGTATTTAAATATATGATAAACCTTCCCATTTTATCCTTCATATCATTCATTATCTGTCTTTGTGTCTTTGCCACCTATCAGTGTGCTCATTCTCTTTTCAGTTGAGTCTGTCTTGCTGTTAAAGCTCCCCTTGGCTTTAACATTTTTTGTTTTACATTTTGAATTTTCTGAAATTCTACTTGTTTCTAAAATCTACCAGGTGCTTTTTCAGTAGTTTTCTATGCTGTTATTTTCAAACTTATCTTTTACTTCTTTTAGTGGAATAAATATGGTTTTCTGTAGTCTCTTTGACTTCCATCATTGAAGTCTAAGGACTTGTTACTGTGATCTGTTGCTTCTGCTGGCATAACTCATGAGCTCTTCATATCCCTGTGTGTTTGGTTATCTTCAGCTATGCACTATTCATTGTAGAAAAATTTGAGGGGAAAAATGATGGTGCCATCTTCCAGAGAAGACTTAGTTGACTTTTGGCAGGTGCTTGGACCTCCTTAAGCTAAGATCAAGACTTGAGAATTCCTGAAAGACCCAGGCAATTCAAACCAAGCTTTAATTTCCACAAGAGGATTGTTCTCCTTGGCCTTTCACTGCTTTTCCTCTCCAGTGTCTCAGGATTTATCTCTCCAGTGTCTCAGGATTTCTTTGTGGAATGACTTCAGTGTTTTTTTTTAATCTCTGATGGCAATGGAGTAAACTTTTCTTTTAGCAGTTTGACTTGCATATTCTTAGATCTCAAGGATTTTGAAGTTTTGCACTTTGGGCAGTTTATTTTCAAACCGTTCTTAACTTTTTTTCTGAAAAAATGCAGCACTTTGTGCTTGCTTTGGCTTTATTCATATCTAGACTATAACCATAAAGTGGACTAGTATGGTGCCCAAAGGGGAACTTTATGCAAATTAGTGAAACATTGTATATTTTTATAAAAAGAGTAAAGATAAGAAAAACACAACAGGCAGATTTTATCCAGTTTCCTTTCAAGGATCAGCACAGTCTCTACTGTTTGCTTTACCGGACTTGTCTGAAGCTTTCAACAAGCCAGATCTCTCTTCAGCACTGACACCATCCTGTTGGTAAGTACACAGCTGCATGAAGTGTGGTGCTAGATATCTTCCTTCCCTCCTTTAAACTATTTGTGCTGATCAGAAGTTATTGTCTTGGCACTGTCTCTAATAGCTCTTCCTTTTAATAAGCAGAGTGTCTTATTTGTAGATTTATTAAACTTAATCAAAGCTGATGTTCTTTGCTCTACAGTGCACTGCTCCCTTAAAAAAGATTTTATTTATTTTTGCATAGAAGAGCTGGGGTGTAGGCCAGAGGTGTGGGGGTGAGAGGATCTCCCCAGAGACAGAGTGGGAGCAGAACAGGTGGATTTATTGAGATAGACTGCCAAGGGGAGCAGTAGGTGAGTCAGGAGAGGTCTGCTGTGCCATGTGGGTCACCTCCCTGGCTGGGGATAGAACTCAGGCCTCAGAGGTGATAATGCTGAAACTTAACTGCTAGGCCCCCAGGGAGGCAGTGAGAAACTTCTGTCTTCCTATTATGGGTTTGACTAACTGGCTGCTGTTCTTGGAGATGTAGTGGCTTACCCTTTTGGCTGTCACTCTTTTTTTCTTCTAAGAGCCAAGGAAGAAAATTACTTCTTTGTGATCTCACTTCATATTTTTTAAATTTTATTTTAAAGATTTTATTTACTTATGCGTACAGAAATGAGGGACAGCCAGAGGTGCAGGGGCGGTGAGGGAATTCACCAGAAACAGAGTAGGAATAGAACAGGCAGATTGACAAAGTACACTGTTGAGGGGAGCAGTGGGTGAGATAGGAGAGGTTCTGCTGTGCCATGTGGGTCAGCTCTACAGTGGGGAGACAACTGGAACTGAAGCGGCCAGGGCTTGGCTTAGCTTCGCAGGAGAGCACTCCAACCCAGTGCGCTACGATGGAGGGCCTTACTTCAGATTTAATTTAGTCTCCCTGAGTCTTTTCCTTCTTACCAGTCACTTTAGTCTATAATCCTAAAATAGGTTTATATAGAGGACTCAGTAAATATTTATTGATTGATGTTACTTCGCTATCTAGAAATTTCTAATGACTTCATCTTATTATGCCGCGCCAATGATTGTTTTACTGCAAATAGCCTTTATTCTTCATTTAGAATTCAGTTTGCATATTTGTGGACCTCAGTGATCGGGATAGTACTATGTCCCAGACATTTGCATTCTTTCACTTAATCTTAAAACTGTTCTTTGAGACTATGTGTAGTTTATGAGTTCCATGTAAGCAGAGAGAGCATTGGTGTAGCTCCAGTGTCTAGCCTAGTGCTCAATATTCAAACATGAAAGGAAAATAAATCTCATTTTATAGATGGGAAACCTCATACAGTCTTCTTCAATAAAATCCTCATACAGTCTTCTTCAATAAAATCCTTCAGTCTGACATTTGTATCTCTCTTTAACCTGTGATTGCATTTCACCTCTCATTTCTCAAGTTCTCTAAAAAGTGTTATTTGATCCCTTTTTCTTGAATATACTTGTGTTTTCTCAATCACTTTTGCTTAGGCTATTTTTTTTTTATATATATACTTCTGCTTCTCATTTTGCCAGGGCTAGTTTAAATTCTTTCCCCTGATGAACCTTTTCCTAAACAATCCACTCTTCTCTGACTGCCATGATATACAATGTCTATATGATTACATTGGGATTGGGATGTTGGGTACTGCCTGGGATGTTAATCTCTGGAGAGGAAACAGGTGGATTTTCTGTTCAAAGGACTTAGATGTAGTTTATACTGTTTGTATGTATCTGCACAAGTGTGTATATGCAGATTTTAGTTACCATGTAGAATGTGACCAGCTCATCTATTGAG